AAAAAAAAAGAAAAGAGACGAAAGGCCGACAGATGCTCCCGAACGGTTCCATGGCTGCCGTTCTCGATCTGGCGGCTCCGTCACCCCCTCAGGGAGACCGTCATGGTGAGCCTCCAAAGCTGTAGACGACGGCGGTTCTCTTCCCTTGGTTAACGCGAACAGGTGCGGCTGTCGATACTACTAGGTCCTCGAATCAAGAAATCGAGGCCTCTGGGAGCGCCACCGGTTCGACACTGGCTCAAATTGGGGCGAGCAAGACCACACGGACTGCTGCCCCGCTCGGTGGCATCGCCGGCTCCTTGATATCTTCGACGACGTCGGTGGACGCCGCCTTACAAAATCGGGACGTATGGTCTCGCACCGGCACGACGGACACGCTACCGCGCCATTCTCACCAACCGTCAGAACTGGGTGGTGAGGAGTTCTGCCAAGATTGCAGCTATTCCGACGATGAGTTGCAACACTACGCCGAGTTCTTGAAGTCAACCGTCCGGGATCCTTCAATAAAGGCTGACTTCCAAAGAGCTTCCCAAGTGGCACTAGAGCGAAGACTATTCCTGGACTGGATGTATGAAACCCAGGACACCGGTCCCTTTCTGGTGGCAGAGCTGCCGCCCGGCATTGCTTGGGAGTTCTGTCGACGTGGGAACATCGAAACATTTCGTAGAAGCAGGCGTCACTAGGTGGGGATGAGGAACGTTCCGAAGCAGAACGCGTGGCTCGAAGGAAGGAAAGGGGGATGATGGCGATCGCAAGGATATGGAGCTATCCCATAGTGGTGAATGACGGTTGGGTTTGCAGAGGATAAGAAACGCATACAAAAATACCTTAACGAGACGTGAGGGACATGAAAAAGTGAAGGTCACCCTGGCGGGGACCAGCCAAACATACCTGGTTAAAATTATCAAGGTCGAACGCTCACCCTATTCCCCTATGTGTTTACGAACAAGATCTTCACGATTAGCCACGGACAATTCTGGAATAGAAGGTTCATCGAGTTGGCATGCTCAGGGTGTCCACTGTCACCAGGAACCACTATATGTTAGAATGTTGAGAACATCGCACCATGTCCACGTGGACAGCATAAAACGAGTCTCTTAAATGGCTTCCTCTGTAGCCATCTTGTTTCACGAAATAATCGGGTTCCTCCGGTCATACGCTTTACGTACAGGTTCGCCTTATGGTCTTAATTCTCAGCCTCTGATGCATCGCTTCCTATCTACATCGCCGGGGAATGTGGTTCAAGGCGGTTCGCAACACGGTGCGCCCATTCCGGGTCACATTCGAGATGGGCAATTTGCCGTATCCGTTGAAGCTCAACGTAAGGCCCGTCACGCAAGTTCAAAAACGTCAACTGTTCCACACACGCAGCAAAAGGAAGGAGATCTCGCTCCTCATAAAATGTGCCCTGAA